TCTTCATTTATTGTTTGGATGTTTGGATCACGTCTGTGAATAAACTGCACATGGGTTCTTCACTATGCTTGCCTTCAGTGGACTGACTCGTTACAACTAGATAATACTAATAGATTTTACCAATACTGATAGCTAGGCTGGACCATACTGGCTGATAACCGATTAATCAACCGTTAGTTTTTAAAATGGATACTGAATGAAAGCTAAAATAAAAAACAGTACTGAATCACGGTACTTTTAAAATATATAACACTTTTAAAACATAGAAACATTAATATCACATATTAATTATACATTGCTCATCAATATGAGTTCATAGTGCATTAACTAATGTTAAGAGATGCAACTTTAAAATTTAAAAATGTATTAGTAAATGTTGAAATTAACACAATCTAACAATGAACAATACTTCTACAGGATTTATTAACCTTAGGTAATGTTACCAATGGACTCTAATTGTAAAGTGTTACCATTTCATATAAATCCAATACCAACAGTCATGCTTGTAGATGGCCATCTTTAAACATGTGCACAAAAGCCATAGCATTAAAATCACATGGATATTGTATGTATAGTCTATTTGTTCCTATTTTAGAACACTTGATGATCATCTAATCAATAACAAAACAAGGCGGCTGCATATCGGACAAGCGTCAGTCCAAAACAGTTCATTTAGTTACCAAACAGAAAAAGTTCACTGAACAAGAATAAACAAGTCGATGAGTTTGAAGTTCGGTGTTTGGAGGGGAAAAAACGGAAAGAGAAAGGCAGTCTAAATGATGCTCTCTATATGTACTTTTTTTTTTTTAGAGCCACAGACATAAACTAATGCAAATAGATGGTTACAGTCGTGACATCAAACAGTTGGGTCGGACTTGCTTATATTTTTGTCATATTCGTACTAGCCTGATGTTAGCGTTGATCCTCTCAGGCTTGACAGCAAACATACTGCTGTTCTCCATTAATGCAGAATCTACCAATTACATTTATTTTTAAGGATATGAAAACACGTATGGTAGTCTACTGTATACGTACCGTTTCATTGTCTGTTTTAAATCGCTATCTGAAGTGTCCCAATCTGTGCAGCGCACAGCCTCACTTGTCAAAACAAACAGCACGAGGCGTCAGTGATACAGTGGACCTTTGGGAATTCCGGCTCTTTTTAGCGATCCGGTTCATTTGGCTCAGCTCAGCAAAAAGAACCGTCTCTTTTGGCTCCCAAATGGCTCTTTATTTAGTACCACTTCTGGCTTTTCAGCCATAATTCAGCCAAATTTGTCAATGTTTTGACCCATGTCTGGTATGTGTGCACAAGTATAATTAAATTATTCAGAGTAATTAAACTAAACCATTAAATATATATATTATTTTTAAATATCCTGTAATATTCCATTTTGTTAAATTACACTATAATTCAGATTTATACAATTCAAATTCAAATAAAATAAATAATCGTTCAATTAAAGGAGTCGACTCAGACTTTTTTCACGTCACTAGACCATTCTAGCTGCTCCAGCAAAGGACCAACCCGGAAAAACTATCGGTAGGCCTACGTTTTTTTTTTGGTTTAGTTTTTTGCCGATAACCGATCCCAGATAGCAAAATGACTGTTGCTAACTGCGATTGTTCCAGCAATTGTTCGACCTCTAAACTCTGATATTGATAATGTAAACCAGGGGTTCCCAAACTTTTCAGCCCATGACCCCCAAAAAGACAGTGCCAGTACCTCGGGACCCCCACTTTCCTCTGAGGTGGTTAAAGTAAACAAACGTTTTGCACAACGGCGCACATGCACTTATAGCATAGTGACAACACAAAGGAACACAACAGTCTAACAACAATAATATTATTTTATAGTAATTTACTCACTTACATTTCAACATTAATCTTACCTGATTAGTTGGGTGGGCAACATGCTGGAGTACAAAACTCCACGCTAGAGTTTTATTTTTAATTCAACTTATAATTTTTTATTTATGGGTAAAATATGCTATTTCTAATCCTTTAAAAAAATTAAAAGTCCCGACCCCTACTTTGGGAAGCCCTGATGTAAACGTGAAGTGTGATGTGACTAAATTCGAAATGTAGTAACAACTTAAAATCGACTGAAATGTGGACCTCATTTTTTAATTACGAGAAGTATTCAGTACAAAATAATTAAAATATGTAGCACATTAAAAAATATTGTGCACGCTTGTTGAGATAACTACAAGTTGTTTTTCAAGTTGATCGGCGAGTCTTCAGGAAAGAACCGCTGTACATTCACTAAAACCTCTCATTTTCTTAAGGAAAAAAAGTTATAAAGAAAATATTTCTTAACTTAATAGAATTTATCTTAAGAAATGTTTGAACTTCTTTCTTAAAAAGATTTTTGTGAATCTGGCCAAGATTTTATATGAGGCCAGATCCCAATATGCCTTGAAATTGCATTCTCTGATGTTATTTCTGTGTTCTGTTGCCATAAAGCACCGGTTTCTGTGCCTGTCATCACTGGTGGCTCATTGGTCAGTGCAAATCATTCTGAAGGTCAGTCTTATCTGTATTCTCATATATTTATTTAAACGTATCTTAGCAGGCAAAGAAGATCAAACTTTGATGTAAAGATGTTACTTAGTGCCTATAAAGCCTGTGTCATATTTGATATGCAAATCTCAAAAGGTTTTGAATCAACATGATGAAAACTTTGCAAACATATACTACATGTCTTCTCTCATCTGATTGATAGTTACAATAAGTTATGTTTCAAGCTATAAAATCATTTAAATAATTATAATTTTGGCCATATAACTCTACAGTTTGGCCATTGAACTGAGTTTTGTTTCCTCTCAGGATTTCCAAATAGAGATTTCTGCTCTGTGAAAAATGATCGAGACGTGTCTATCTCGTGGTATAAAGGGAGTGAAATGCTGAACCAGACCAGCAATCCTGATCTCAGCATCAACCTCAGTTTACCATTAGAGCTTCATTATAACGATCCAAAGACCTACAGCTGCACGGCTGTGAATCCAGTGAGCAATAAGAGCGTCCGTCTTCACAAGAAAGAGATCTGCCCACGACAGGAAGGTGTGACACACAAACTACATTTACCACAGAACTCTCTGCCTGCTGTAATGACCTCCGTGCAGCATCTGTTTTTCCACAAAGACATTTGATGAGCCAGAAAATGTTCATGAGCTGCTCTCTTCTCTTTCAGATTGTCTGGATCACTGTGGCTCCACTGAGGCTCTGATTCGTCTGGTTCTGTCTGGTCTGGTGGGAATCACCACTGTTGGGTTTCTTATTGAGAATCTGAGGTTCTGCTCATCTCGGAGAAGAGCTGCTGCTTCTGTGTGATGGTGATACTTTTGTGAGACCAACCAACATGTCATATAGAATCATGCATATGGGGCTTTAGTTAGTTACAAGTCAAGTCACCTTTATTTGTATAACGCTTTATACAATACTGGTTGTGTCAAAGGAGCTTTACAGTGTCAAACAGGAAAATAGTTGGTCAAAAATGCAAGAAAATAAAGTAATTTTTCCAGTCTCACATTACTGTATATCACAGTTATCCTAGAATTCACATCAAAGCTATCTTTCTTTATAAAATAATGCAGTTCAATGAAATGAAACCCCTTAAAATGAAAAGCAGTGCCAGTGGAGCAGGAAGTGGTCTAGTGGTTTGTGTTCTGCAGTGGCATGCAAAGGTAAAACAGAACAATACTATCAATTAAATGCTATAGAAATGTGTATATTTGAGCCTTTTACCGGTAAAGTCTTTTTGAAATTTTTGCAGAATCTTTAACAATTGTACCTTTTGTATCACATTTGTGCCACAATAAAACAAAAGGTTATCAGTTAACACACCTGCAACCTTCATAGTAAAATAATTACATTTTCTTGAGAGAATTCGAATATCTAGTCCGAATATCAAGTCAATCATCCAACAAAAAAATAAAAACACAAGCTTTTTTTTTTGTTTTTCAAGAAATTTTATTTTAAAGGAAAATTGTGCAAACGTTAAGTTAATATAAAATAATTTAGAACATCATAAAAAACTAAAATACTGAATATTTATAAATACATTTTAAGCAGCACTTCTTAAAATACATACTGTGGTCTTTGTGTCCCCCAGTGAAGAAGCCAAAGGTGACAGAAGCCAAAAAACTCCCCACAAGGTTTAGTTACAGAGGAATACACCTTAGGAGATGTTCGGGTGGAGAAGCCCTCCTCCTCAGGATGGCACAAGATTACAATACTGTCCCTTTGCTGATTCCAAAACCAGTCATGTAACAATCAAACACAGTGGCGTAATACACAGTATATATAAACAGAAGTATTTGCCAGACACTCTTATGCAGAGTAAAATGTACTTTAGCTTATCATGACTTTGTTGCAGAGGTAAACATAAAATGTAGAAAAACCCTGTTCTAGAAGAACTTTGAGACTTCTGGTAGGTTTACCAAGGTAGAGGTTTGAAGGCACATCCATGGGATCTGACCCAACAGTTTGGCACGGGATTATGATTGCTGAGTACAGGTGGGATGACCTCTCATGCAGACCTCTACAACAAGACAATGGTCTGTTGACTGCCTTGTATGCCAGGATATCACTTAACTTAACTATTGCACATCATATTCAAGTTGAGGAGGCAGAAGAGATCTCCTTCATGTTGTATTCCCGGAGTAGGTTTTTCTTAATCATTACCTGTAAAGACGTTAATAACATTAAATTTCACCTGACTTTTAATGTGCCACAAAGACAAAAGCTTTTTGACAAAACTATCACAATACAATGTAAATGTCTGACATACTTTACACCATGATTTTCTTCCCGCCTTCCAAATCACCAAATGCTCTTCTCTAGGAGTCCTCTGCAAGTGAATTCAGACACAATATTTTAAGAAAATTCCTCAGCATCATTCAGCAAAAAAATTTTTTTTTTTTTTAAATAATTCTTACTAATTTCATTTACTTTGCAAAGCACTTTGTATAATAAGTGCTATACATCTCTGCGTGTAAAAAATACCACAAACAGAATGCTGGATTATGACTGGCTCTCCAATTTGCCAAACAGGATCAGAAAATCATATGTGACCCTGGACCACAAGTCTTAAGTGTCAATTTTTCAAAATAGAGATTTATACATCATCTGAAAGCTGAATAAATAAGCTTTCCATTGATGTATTGTTTGTTAGGATACAAATATTTGAAAATCTGGAATCTGAGGATGCAAAAAAATCTAAATATTGAGAAAAATCTTCTTTAAAGTTGTCCAAATGAAGTCCTTAGCAATGCATATTACTAATCAAAAATTAAGTTTTGATATATTTACGGTAGGAAATTTACTAAATATCTTCATGGAACATGATCTTTACTTAATATCCTAATGATTTTTGGCATAAAAGAAAAATCTATAATTTTGACCCATACAATGTATTTTGGGCTATTGCTACAAATATACCCCAGCGACTTAACACTGCATTTGTGCTCCAGGGTCACAAATGGCATAAGGACTTCCTTGAAGTGACCATCAAAGTATATGTTGCTAAAGGCCTTGTGGAAAGACCCTTCGTGAAGGGATCTATTTGCTCACTTTCATTTACAATGTCCTCTTCCCACTGTGCCCTTCAAAGGTGCAAAAACTGGCCCTAATTTTACATAAATGAGTGACTATTTCAAGGTCAGTATCATATTACATTTCCAATTGGCTAAACCAAAAGTTAATTAAGATAGTCTTGTGATTGTGATATGCTATATATGATTTATTTGCAATGGCAATCAAACACAGATTTGTCAAAAACAAAACACTGAAAAAGGTAAAAATAAATGTCTTTTCACAATATGCACAAGCATTTCATTCTCATGAAAATAGTTGGTGAGGAAGAACATCTAAAATCATATGTCAGAGCTGTAGCCTTGGCTTGTAGGCAGTTTTCTGACATGTGCCCCAATTTTTATTTATTTTTTGCATATGATTAACATTTAATTTGCATATGATAACACTTACATTGATACTTTGTTGATGACAGAAGTAACTGTCCGTTCTGTCGTTTCCCTGCGCTTGTTTTATTAGCCGCTGACTGAAAACTAGTTAGCATGTTCTAGTAACGTTACACAAGATTACAGTATATAACTCGGAAGATGTCACGAATGGCTTTCCTGAAGCACTTCACCTGCAAGGACAAATATTTTATATGTTTAAAAAATTACTAAAAATCTGATTTAGTTGTTGATCTCTTGCATAATCACAAATGTTCTTATGCATCTCAATACACTTGCAGTTGTTCTCTTTTCAGTGCTTTGGACAATGAACAAGTGTTTCAGAAGTTTATTTGCTTGACTGCAACTCTAATATCTCAGATCTCCTGAGATCCTCCCCAAAAAAAATAAATTCTCTCATCAATTACTCGCCTTCATGTCATTCCAAACCTGTACGACTTTGTCTTCTGTGGACAACAAATAGTCCACACAACTTGTGAAATATATTCCAAGTCTTCTGAAGCCTTTATTTCTCAGTCATGACCAATCGCCAATCTTTAAATGGGCCTACATGTAAAATAAATTTGGGTGCTATAGCAACGGGAAATAACAACTTACAAGTCCATCCATTTCCGCATGTAAAGCTGATACGACTTCTGAAGACCTGGAATATGGCACACGGTTTTCTGGGCAATTTTCATGGTATATTAAATGCACTTTTGTTGTTCTTTTTGAAGCCTGGCAGTTGGGGTCCCTGATCCACATTAATACGTAAAAAGCAACCCTGACATTCACACTGTTGTGTTTTGTTGTTCACAGAAACAAAAGAAAAAAAGTCATGCAGGTTAAGAACAACTTGAGGGTGAGTGAAAGATGATCATTTTCATTTTTGAGTGAACTATTCCTTTAATAAAGCTCTTCACCAACAAAGATTTTATTTGCCTCTGAAAACACTTACCTTCTTGTAACAGATGCAAAGCACAAAGATGATCAGCCCAAAGATGATCAGCACAATGACCCCAGCTGAAAGAGACTCTGACTGTGACTCATTATTGCCTGGACTGGGCAAAGTGCTGGCAGATCCTGAAGTTGCTGAAGTGCTTGTAGGTCCTGGACTGGGCAACGTGCTAGTAGGTTCTTCAAAGAACAAGAGGAACAAACAAAGTGATTTTAAAAATGAATGCATGGAAATCAGTCAGCTTGGTGTGGTAGTAAATAAATAAATAGCACGTGGTAGTTCTCAGCTGCCACCTTGACAAGTTATTAACGACAAAATGATCAGTGAAATGCACTAAAGAATCATAAATGGAAGAAGTCTTTAATCTTTAAATTACTTACGGTTGCACGTCACGTGGACAGTAAAAGTCTCCCCAAATTCTTCGGCATGGATGTAACTCAGTGCTTCGCAGGACCACGACTCGTAGGAGCAGTTGGTGATGGTTAGGCAGAGTCCTCTTTCCCTGTGCTTCTCCAGCGAGACCCCGGGCTTGCTCGTGTGTCGACAGCTCTGATCAGGATCACAGTACTGTGCAATCTGGACGTCGCTACAGCTGACTTTAACTTGACTGGCGTTAAGCCATCGGGGAGAGCATCGGCGAAACTCAGCAGCACCTGTCAAATGTATTTGCAATAAAAAAAATATAATAAAAATAAAAATAATAAAAAATTATTTTATAATAAAAAAATAGACTTAGCCTACACAACTGTATTAACTACTTACTGGCGATGATGAGAGAGAAAATAACTAGCAGAGCGTGGCTCATCTTCGACGCTGTTATGAGCGGATTACTGCACAGAAGCGTGACACTCCGCTAACTCCGCTCAAATGAAAACTGTAGGGCGTGGCTAAAGCACTGACGTCACGTTACCTGTAGCCAGGTGATCAGACCGGATGTTGTGTTTCAGACTACTGTAAAACATCTCTGAAATTATTTTTTTTTTTCAATATGGTTTTGTTTTACAATATACTTTTGAGTTTTTATACAGCAAATCAATCTAGCGACGTGTTATTATTATCATCGAGGAAAAACATCGCGCGGGTCCCAGAAAGCGACGGAGGACGGGCAAGAAAGTTCGAGAAACTTCTGTCATCTACTCTCTACTCGGACCCGTGTGTCGTGACCGGTTAACAGGTGACTCCCTGCCGGGATCTGACTGCCCTCGCGTGCGCGCGCATGACGTCATACCATGCCGCCAGTTGCGAAAACAGACAGCGTAAGTACTAAATTAAAATTTGTGTATTGGACAGTTTGATCGT